CAAATAGTTGAAACATTCTAAAAACAAGATTATCATTTTACTTTGGTTACAGTACCCACCGGACAAAGTAAAAGTATATCTATCGAGAGAATCGTCTCCATAAGTGACGTCATTTCCGGGTGAGATAGCTGGCACTGTCCAATTAATGGTTGTACCGATAACTTGAGCTTCATCTATATTACCGGTATATCCCGCGGTATTGAAGGACGCTTTCATCTATGACGTCGGACAAGTGAATAGTGAGAGTGTCTATCGTAGCCGCAGCAGCAGTGCCGTCATCAGCGCTGAATATGAACACATTCAAATGTCAATACAATACAACGTCAACACATTCAAATGTCACAACACAATACAGTACAATAAAATGCAATATAATACAATAAAATACAACACAATTACCTTATATCTATTGTAAATATCGTGTCCCCACTTTCATAATCCAAACCTGCTGCGGGAGTCCACACTTCATCACCATTGACTATTGTAAAAGTAGGAGTGGCCGGTGATTGGCTATCAATAGTAAATGTGGGCGTGTCGGCGTCATCGTCCCTGTACAGAATTCTGTAAATCGACACCGACCCGCCGATATCTTCTAGTATAGTTTTGACCTGAGGTAGATTTCTGTACACGGGCGATTCTGGTTGATCAGTGATCAACACTGTAACTGCGTACACATCATTGTTACTTGTTGTTTGTAAACACTGAACGTAGACAGTTTGTATCGGACCAACCAGTTCGAAATCTATGTCACTCCCTACCATGATCTGAAATCAATGCGAACACGCTTAAATAAACTTGCAGCTCTGTGTAGATCTGAAACTATTTTCAAAATAAATAGCAAACTGTCAGTTGAACCATCATGATGTATAAACCGTGTAAGAATACATATGCTCACATAAACTGGAACTTTGTTCAATTTTTATTGCAGTTTTGTTAGATACTACCTTCCCCGTTGCACTTACCGCGCCGTTGTTTGCGTCGATGGTAAATAACCCGTCAGGTCCGGGGTCTAAATGATCGATGTCATATGAAGGGCTTGCTTGTCCCTCGTAAAAGTTACCAGTAACGTCGGTGTTGGGGATAACAACAGTCCCAGTATTGGCATTTTCGTCCACACTATGCGGTGTATTGGTCCATGATATGTCACATACTAATAATGACAGAAAATACATTTATTTCTCCACCTACAAACAAGTTTTCAAGATCGATCGATTCCCAATTGGATTTACACGTTTTTGACGGTTTTCGATTATACACATTAACCGTGGATATATATTTATACTGATCAACTAAGAACTCCGGCATACAGTTAATTTACCTAGAAGAATGGTTTATACACCTTTCGCACGCATTGTCGGATAAACATAATTAATGTAAAGGAATCTGTTTAATACAATTTTAAATTCCACTTTACACTTATTGTTCACGAATTAGACACAAAGTGTGACTTTGCTACATGAATAAATTGTTGTTTATAGCATTGACGTAATAGATTATTTAATACAATATGTGAAAATTCTTAGGACTCAAATACTACAATACTTTATATTTTTATATTTGCCGTTGACGTATGTAGATATTTAATACCATATACGGAGATAATGTATGAATATACCACGTACTTCTGATCACAAAGCAACATCATTACTTGAAAATAGTTAACAGCTATTCACAGAAACTGTCTGGTTATTTTATTTGCTGGCATATGTTACGTCCTCGGCACAAGGATGAAATAATGAAAGCTTTCGAATCTCGCTTTGTGTCGATTATCTTGTGTCCAAATACAGGTGTATCTATTTAGTGCACATTACGCGATTTGAAATAAATGTAGAATTGAAGAAAAGGAAAGTAGCTTCAATCAGGGCGAATGGGATCGTTGTTAATACAAGGCTGGTAAAAATTTTTTGGATAAATGTAACGCGCTATATGTTATGATGGACATTATAAAACCCCGGGAAAACAACTTTCACTCTCATTGTGTTTAATGAGCGAGCAAGGGAGTGTAGCGGACAATACGAACCCAACTGAGTTGTTCATGTATAACATAATTATGTCTTTATTTTGTACGGAACAATGTGCGTGAGTCGAAAAACTCAATTAAAGAACAAATTGTGAAACTGTAAATTTAAAAAAACTAGTGACTGTTTTCCACGTTTCCGTAATATGGTCAAATAAATGGTGTGTATTTGTTGAACAAAACGTGACTTATAAAATGAATATTCAAGTTTTATATATTTTACACTATTTTCAGGAATGATTATAAATCTCTTACCTTGTGCCATAGTCACATCTTCTGTCAAAATGTTCATTAGCAAATAAATAGATAATAATAAATTCACATGACTGATAATATAGAATTCCATTCTGTGAAGTTTGAGTGAGCGTCCGTCAGGTTACTACACACTATCTAACTCACATGCGTTTATCTATCGCAGCGCTTCCCCAACGTTGATACAAATTATTGCCTTCACTCACGCATGCGTGTGATACGCCTATTCACTGGATTCAATAATACGATCGTGATTGCCCCTAGAATGGAGGTCATACCACACATCGGCGGGTCCAGTTATTGTGAAATAACAAAACAACCTTACAACTGCATTGTATATTTGCAAACCACGCAATTCTATTTGGTTGCTGGCGTTACCCTGACGGTGTATTCCTCTTTTATATATTCGTTCTATTGCAATGAATTTGTTGTGATCAGTGTTAAAAGTTGCAACTTTTTTATATCACAATATGCTACTCCCAATCATCCTCGTTGTAGTTTTAGCGCTCACTATGTGTTTATGTGGTAACAAGACAGATATCAAGTTAGAAATGATGAACTCAGTATGATGCAGTGGAAATAGTTATACCAAGGCAAAATTGGACAGATATCGGCACCTCATTAAGAATGTTATGGTGTTAAATTGGCAAGAGACAATATCGATATCGACAAACCTTTAAAATACACTATAAGTGCATTACAAATTGATATATACTTTATATATTAATTTTCCCAAATAATCAACGGAGTTGCTATTTGTTTAGTTGTCTTATTCAGTAGTGTTAGACAATATACAACTCCATGGTTATCGTCTGTATTCTTGGCGATGATAGATTGGCATCGGCGGCAATCTGTGGTACCACTGATCCATCCGAACATTACTCATACTGATGGCGATGTGCATGCGATAGTTATACGGTGAAAACCTACTTAGGTACTATTCCACAAAATAAAAATATAATTAACTATTGATATAGATTTAATTTGCCTTTAAAAATGTTTGCTCGTTAAAAAGAAATTTGCAGACATAGGACACAGTGAATCTGCCGTATACAAAGCCTATATGAAAGCAACCATTTCTGGTAGTTTAGGGGCAAAAAATCTCCTATTTTTGTTTAATTATTATCTACAAAATGCAAGCATTTTTAACTGGCAAAAATTAAGAATAATCTCATATCCAAACGAATAAAAATAATGCACAAAGTTTTTAGGCGACACGCTTACGACATAATGCAACCACCACGCAGGATTCCTAGAATATCGAATGAATATAACCACGTATGCTGTAACGTAGGTTCAAATTAGTAAAAGTATTAGTGAATAGCGTTCGACGACTAAACAATTACAAGGTGTTAAAAGTGTTCCTTCAAATAACCTTCTTTATAACTATAACTGTATGACCTGCGTTGTGATTTCTTAACCAGCAGGAAACATACCAAACAAAGTTAACGTAGTTAGTTCCTTTTCGTGACAATGGATGTCCAATTATCTTTACCTGGTGACGAACAGTCAAACAAAGGAATTCCTATCCTTGATTTAATTCACCGAGCTATTACGTAAATACCGACAACGGTAATTTGAGATACTGCCTATGGTACTTTATACACATTTCTGCTTACACGGCAGTCACGCTGTGTCGTGACGACAATAATTTACAACCACAACCTTTTACCATTCTGACTTCCACCGGTGCCGTCACAAAGAGTAATTGTCTGACTGTATGTAGTGCGCACGTTTACTATTCATTGCTGTACATCCATTGTACAAATTTATTGTCAATCAAAATACAGTAGACGAATTCAGTACCGATTTTCCCGAGCCTTTTCGATCCCCTGCCATTTGATGGCAATTAATTAGGAGTGTATGGCACGGTGGGAAATGTTTTATTCGGTTGTCAACAGTACGACCAGTGGTGGATATACGCAAACAAACAAACACGCAATCATAGCAATAAAGTAAACATGAAATGTTTTTTTTTTTTTTAAAAAAAAAGTGCTTTAATAGTAGTATAAAAAAACGTCAGTGTAGTAGCTAGTGTCCAAACGATAGTTTAACTTGATCACTTAAGGTAGGCAGTATACACACGCTAGGGTAAACATTGCAGCCAGAATGTACATCTCCAGATGGTCATCAGAACGCTTATTGTATTATATTGGGCATTTCTAAACGCGAACTGTATTACTTCAATGTGTGACAGGACGCGAATTGAACCCTACTAATGCCCCGCGGTTATTATTGAATTATTTAACGGATGTTAAACTTCTGTTCTCTTGTTTGTTAGCTCTTTGTCTTTACCTTGAAATTGAGATTTTTATAAATTTCAACAGTGTCATACTATGTCTTTCAGCTCCCTCATTCACTAGTTGTCACAGAAGTATCGAACACTTACTATGTTTTATATCATTATCACCTGAGAAGAGTTCAAATTGCTCATATACAGATTGTGGACCATTATCGGCTTTAAACGGCTACAGTGACGATGGCTTAATAAATCAGTAGAAATATTTACCAATGAGCTTGAAAATAATGATATAGACTTAATAACTATTTTTGTAGATGGCTGATTAACAAGTTGCCACTTTCAATACTTCTTACACTATTTATTCCCGGCCAGCATACTTTTGTACGTAGTGGCTGCTGTGTTTTTCCAATCCTTGATGTCCTTCATAAGCGAGATCGACGACAAATATTTTCGGAATTATTATTCAAGTGTCTTTTAGTACGATTTGTCTGACTACACAAAGTGTAATCAAACCAGTTTGCTATGATTTTTTATGTGAACAATGTTGTGTAACACAAGAACGTTACTGAATAACCTAATCTATAGCAAGCTTTGTTGGTGGTCATATTCCCACGACAGAGTGAACTATTATATGGAAGAGGAATCATCTCAAGCAAGTTATAGGTGCACGAAGCTTTAAAGGTCTACCAGTATTTCAGCCCCATTTTTGTTGATTTGGGGTTGCATAAACTAAAATTAAACCCGTTTAAATAAAAATTAATTTAAAATACATTCATTTTTTTGCAGTCGTTCGCGTTTGTATATATATTTTCAACGCGTTTATATATTTAAAGCGTCAAAAACACGTTTTTTTATTACATTTTAAATACTTTCAAAACATGCGTCATAAATATATCCGAAATATATTTGAATTGGGTAAAGGCTAGCTTTGTAAATTTTATATGGTTTCGTGTGTTATTTTGCATGCAGAATTGACTGTCAATCTGAATAATTTACGTGATAACATCGCGAGTGCATACCAAGAACACCCAGCCGAGTTATCTTTCACATTTGGCATGATTTTTCGTTAGTTTGTCACGTGTGCACCATGTTTCTACTGGCACATTTGTGATCGCCTCTTTCCCCATTGAATCTTAACAACATCTCAACATTCTACCATCATAAAAAACAGATAAGTCAAATTCCCTGTATCCAATGGTTCTTCTTTGTTTCATGATTTTTGTATGAGCCAACGGAAAAAAAATGGCTTGAACTTCATCCAATAATATTATTTAAAGAGACACACAGGCATTTTTTATACTAAATTGTTGAACCGTCCTTTCAGTGGTTTTCATGTTTATTAACAGCGAACCGACACGAAGTAGTGACAGTCCCGTAGAGAAACGAATGCCGTGCAATGCCGCAGTTAAGATTGATAATATTTAAAACAGTTATCAAAAACAACAATACGTCTAGTCACTAAACGAATAATGTTTGCGTTCAGTATTTGCCCAATCCGCTGCGCATGTGCATCACACGTGAATCACGCACGGTTACCCGGATGGGAGAGTTAATTAAGAAATTAAAGGTTTGTACAAATTAATTAGGAATGTCATTCTGGCATGATTTACTAAGTGTGTGAGTAGAACTGGCTTATCTCAAACTGTTAAACTGTCCTCGGATTACGATACAACATGCCCCGTTCGAAAAACTGTGATTCCTAATTGAAATCAACAGATTATATTATCTTATACACTGCTTTCATGGAAAAAATGTTTTCATAGTCCACACTCACCCGTGAAAAATCACTACCATTTGGAATGTTAAAAGACTTGTCATTTATTCACTAGTATTCAGACATCATCTCCACTATATTTTGCTGATTACACAGACGGAATGGACACTTATAAGATGTGTGTATATCTACATAACGTTTTTACGAACTATACACGTATATATATATAAATTATACATAGAGTAAAGGTAATAGCATATTCTCGAATATAATTATCGTTGCATAGTTTCATGAAAAAATAATTGCAGAGTTATATATTTTACTCTTATATACAAAATAATAAAAAGACAGTGAAAGGAAATATAAAACACACGTTATTGGGCAATGTAAATGTCCTCGTTATAAAAAATAAATCATTCTTTAGAATGCATCGAGCTGGCTTCCGCCATACCGTGGTTTATTCGTTTCAACTGCAAGAGAACAGAAAAGTGGAGTATTATAAACACGCTGTTTTGCAGGAATAATTGTAATAATTCAGCACACTATGAAATAAGTCTGATCACTATATTTGATACCCCCTTTTTCACACAAACAAATATGAACAAAAGCACATGTCAAAACAATGTAACTGGGGCTTAATTATATCGTTCAGCTGGATATGATATCGTATCGATGAATGTTGTATCATGCCCGGTTGATGAAGAATTCAAACTTATTTTGAGTTATCAATATAATTACACAGACACATTGGCAACTTACTGGTAGATAGGGACAGAGGAATCATAATGTCAAACAACCATTACAAAATTGTAATTCAATTGTAATTCAATGCCTCAAATTGAGCTTCGTGCTACCGTTTTTAAAAATTGCGGTCGCCCCTCGAAATAAATGCTGGGAAAGGGGCGTCGCTCCTTCAAAATCGAGCTGAAACCCTTTGTGTCTACAAGATGTGCCCCTCAAAATGCAGGAATATCGTTTCAGAGGGTCATGATTTCAAAATTTTTAAGGGGGAGTATGCCCCTGGACCCTCTAGTAAGGTCGCGAAGTTGGTGAGCAGATCTCGCCTCTCCATGTAAAATTTCGTGCTTCTGCCTCTGGCAAACATCTCAAATTGAGTGCAACGACCAATCAATTTACCGATACGAATGCCAGTGATGGATGCTATACCACACCGAACGACTTAATACATACACGAACATATATTTAAATCTTAAAAGTAAACTATTACCTGGTGTCACCGTATAATCTGGACGAGCTGTGTGATTTTTTCTCGTAGTTTGTACAGTGTTTGATCGTGCCTGTTGAAGAATATAATGAGTTATTACGTTAAACGTTTATACTGCGTTTTTACATACAGCGTCGTTACAATATGTATTGTTAACCACAGAATATCGAATATAATCGAATAAATTAATTGAACATAAATTAATCTGATCTGGACATACCGATGGCAAAGCCAATACACTGAGGGTAGGATCTGCCACACGTTTCTCTTTATCTGTAAGAAATAGTCATTATGATCACTGTGAATTCATTTATTGCAGTTTATTCTATGAAAGTCGGAAAAAACTTTCATATTTAATGTAGTTACTTCGATGCGTGGTCGCAATACATGATATGAACATTAATAAACGTTTTCACTACTATATTTTGAAACTATTTTAACAATATTTTGAACTCACCTGATCCTGGAAGCCAAGCACTTCTTTGCGCAAATGACCTTGGGATTATGGTTGGTTTTGCTTTATCTTTGTCATTCAGTCTACCATGTAATGAACGAATACACATTGAAGTTAGACATGTTATTGTCAAAAAAAAAGTATTATGCCTTAAAGATAAATTATTACTTAAATTTGTGTGCTGAATAAATGACTGTTTTAGTTCATGATAAACCATAGTTAAATATGTAAAACAACATGGATTATCAAACAACTTTATTAAAACATATATATTCTCATTCATAGTGTATAAACAATATTACAGACATTTATTGAGGTGTACAGGAAAACAAATTATTGGGTATTTGTAGTTAAATCACATACTTTTTATCCTTCTTCTTAGCACAGCAAAACCAGTATACACACAGAGTTATACAGAAACAAGCGATGACAAATGAAAGGCAGGCCAATACAATGAGCAGAATTCCCCACCAAAGCTGGTACCATTCACCGGGACGTGAGTCGTAGTCAACCATAGTAATATCCCATTGTTCGAACACACCACCTGTTATAAAAAAGGTTAAAGAACGATAGCTGTTTCAACTGGCATTTTGTATTATTAATTTCAATGATATTTTAAGAACTGCAATGAAATACCACACAATGTTCGTATTCGTAAAAGTTATGTTATACCTAGTGCGTTACCCTATAGCGTTAAGTCTGACTCATGCTATAATTGTACTTCAATCTTATGACCCGAGTGTCACTGTGCTATGTTGTAATCAATTCCTCGTTAAACTGAATCATCCGCTTTTAGTTATGATAATATAAGCTCGGTAGCCAAGCAGCCACAGAAAATGGATCTACGTGCTGTCAAAGATGAACAATATGACATTATGACTGAAGCTGTCTCACTGGAAAAGGCGAAAATCGATATCCTTCGAGTTGCTAATATGTCACAAATTAGTGATATCTCCTATTCGGCACGGGGTTTTAATAGCATTGTTTTCTTGTGATTTTTATCGGAAACAACAAAAACACACTCCAAAACTTAAAAACATGTTCTGGTATGCCCTAGAAGTATGTTACCCTTGGAGATATAACGGAGCAGCATATAGTTTAACATGTCGTAGACAAAATTAGTTTCGTTTTCAAATTGTTTTTCTTTGGCAGATTTGATGCCATCACTAAACGTGTCAGTTACAGTTACCAAACAAACCACTCCACCACTTAAAAACACATAACCCATAATAGCAGTGCATTGTGGTCTATTTGAATATGACCTGCATAAATTATCCTATCACAACTAAATGAATTCTGTACAATAATTACATGCAGCAAATTCAGGCTTCAAACACTTAATTATAGTTATCTTCTATTGCATTTGGAAATGATGATAGATATAGGGGATATTTTCGTCCATGCAACTATTACACTGTAATTCCCCATTACTTGTACTTGCGTTGGCGTTGTCGATGTTATATATTGTTCCTATTTCAGAGCTAAGATTAAACAAATATTGAATGGGAATTGTTCACCTGGCAGGACATCTACTAAATATCATGCTTCACTTACTTTGCAGTTCGTCAGACGGAGTGCCACTAGAATCCTGTGCAAATAAGTCATACATATACGATGCGAGTACAAAGTCCTTTGCCAGATTCAAACCATCTTTTACGTCTGTACTATTGTCAGCGACAGCATATAGATATACTATGATTTGTCTGCAAATAGAATACATACAGTGTAAGAACATACAATATTATATATACACAGATTGGTAAGTAGGCGCTGTTGACCGAGGTCCATTAAGAATATATTGTACGCACATCGTTTCGTAATTAAGACAACGCTATATCCATTGTAGTAAGCTTGCCAGCTCTATCGATTTAACAATCAGAAATTAGAGCTATATACTTGAATATAAAATCACAAATATTCGTTTTCATGGCGATTGTACTTACTCGTCATCTACAAGTAGTTTACGCGTGCTTAGTGTTGTACCCCCATCTTGAACAGTTATGTGTGATATTCCGCACCGTGCAGTAGGGAAATAATCATGAATGATGTTTGTAATTGCTTGCAGAAAATCGGATTTCGTCAGTGTGAAGTCCACCAATGAATTTGATATGTAGAATTTTATAAGGCATATGGAAGGATCAAATGCATCAATTCTGACAACCGCTTCGTCTGATGATGTTAATTGGGGTAAACCATAGTCTTCGGCTTCCACGCGCAGTTCATACTTCTCCCCTGCTTGCAATGTTTGCTCTTCAATTAATGTGATGTCTCCTGTAGGTAAAAGGGAATAGGTCACATTTCTCTCTGATTATGAGATGAAACATTGCCGCCAATATATTTTAACTAGAAGAAAACATTTAAAAAATAATATATTATAACATGGCTAATCTAAATCTAGCAGTCTGACTGGTTGGAGCATAGTCTGAATAAACTGGCGTAAATATCTAACTGAATTGAAATCACGCAAGCAATGTGAGCACTGTTCACAGTGATTGCTTATTTATGTATGATCAACCAATCAACACCGAGAAACCTGAACGTGTGGGTCAGCTTTATAGTGTACAGATTAAACACGTGATGTCATCGACGCGTCCATGTTCACAATATTCACAACTAAAAACATATGTTTTACTTGTTTCGAAAACAGGCTATTTGTATTACTCCCAGGTGAAATATACTAGAATTTTGTCATGCGCCTAACCCAAGTTCTATGATTAGGAGGAAGGCACAAAAGGGCGCTGTCTGATCTATTGTATTCATAGAATTGTCGAAATCACAACAGCGATTTGTAACCGTGTCAGTTGGGTTGGCATTCGTGTAACCAACACGTTTCTAAGCATACATGTACTTATTCAGGCAATATGCCACAATGTTTTTACCTATGGTCCCATACCATTCACTGCAGCACCACTAATCAAAAGAAGTTTATTTATAGAAAAAAATATACAGAAGTACGCAGAACTAATTAGGAAGTGAAATGATAATGTCTGACTACAATGGAGTTATAACAATATGATTGGGACAAAACACCCTGATACACATACATAGATCAATGTGTACCCTAGTACTGAAATTAATTTGCTACCAAGAAGTGATAT